ATAAAAAAAAATAAAGTGGATTTCACATATACAGCATACAGTTGGGTCTTGCATTTTTATCCAATCTGACAAGTTCAGACTTTTTATTAAAATGTTCAGATCATTTATGTTTAATGTAATTATTGATGTGATTAAATTTTTTTTCCGCCCTGCCACATCAGCTCATTTGTTATTTTTCTCTGTTTTCTCACATTTTTTGTTTAAATGAATATTTTTGTTCTTCTATTTTATCTCCATTTTAGATTATTCATGGTATATATTTTTGTTTGCTCTTGTTTTATAATATACACCTTAAGTTATCACAGTATACCCTGGAATAATATTGTACTACTTAGTTTATAGTGTAATTACCTTACACATTATGTTGTCATTTTCTCTCTCATATCTTCTGTGCTGTTTTTGTCATAAAAACACTTCGACAATGGTTATAAATCTTAAATGCCTTGCATTTTTTTTTTTTACTTTAAGCAGTCAATTGTATTCTCAAATGATTACAAAAGAGAAAATATGTGTAATTTATATTCCCTTTCTATTTTTCTATTTCTAGTGCTTTTCATTTCTTTCTGTAAATCCAAATTTTCATTTGATATTATACATATTTGATGGATAGATCTACCTTTAATATTTTTTGTAGTGTCAGTTTTTTGGACATACATTCTGTTAGCTTGTGAATTTCTGCAAAGCCTTCATGTTATCTTCTTCTACGAAAGACTTTTTTGCTGGGTTTAATGTTATAATTGGTGAATTTCTTTTTCCTTTTAGCACCTTATAGATGTCACTCCATTGTCTTCTACCTTGCATAGTTTTTGATTGGCAATATTCTCTAATTCTTATCTTTATGCCTGTAATGCAGCATTTCATTTTTTCTCTGGTTGCTCTCAAAATTGGCTCTTCATTTTTGGTTTTTCAAAATTTAACTATGACGTGTTTAGGTGCTTTTTGTTTGTTTTTTTTCTATTCTTAAAATTTCCTGCTTGAAATTTTCTGAACTTTGTGGATTTCTGGTGTATCAGTCCATTATCATGCGGCTAATAAAGACATATCCAAGACTGGGTAACTTCCAAAGGAAAGAGAGGTTTAACGTTCTCACAGTTTCACATGGCTGGGGAGGCCTCAAAATCAAGGCAGAAGGCAAAAGAGGAGCAAAGGAATCCTCACGTCTTGTGAGACTTAATCTCTTTCACAAGAACAGCATAGGAAAAACCCGACCAATGATTCAATTACCTCCCACCAGGCTCCTCCCATGACACGTGGGGATTATGGGAGCTACCATCCTAATGAGAGTTGGGTGGGGACACAGCCAAACCATATCATTCTGCCCGGTCCCTCTCAAATATCATGTCCTCACATTTCAAAATCAATCATGCCCTTCCCACACAGTCGTCCAAAGTCTTTTTGTTTTTGTATTTTTCAAAAATCCTGCTTGAAATGATTTGAGTTTTGTGGATCTCTGGTTTCTTGTTTATAAATTTGGAAACTTATCCTCCATTATAAAATTTCTGGTATTTCTTCTCTCTCATTCTCTTCTTTACTCTATGAATCAAAGTATGCACACATGTCTGGCTATTTGATATTTTCGCAAAGCTCCTATATACTCAGGTGAGCTTTTAAAAAAATTATATTTGGGTTTTATTTTGTAGAGTTTTTATCAACCCACTTTAAATTTCACAAATTTCTTCCTCAGGCATGACAAGCCTCTCAAAGTAATTCTTCAATTTAAATATCATAGTTTGTTGTTGTTTTACATTTCAGGAATTTTTGTTTGATTCATTTTAATAGATTTCATCTTTTTGTTGAAATCCTTGTCTTTTCATTTATGTTCTTAATCTTTACCACTGTATCATTTAACATATTAAATCATAGATTTTATAAATCCCCTGACTGATAGTTTTAACATCTGACTAATAGCTCAAACTCCTTCTATTGATTGTTTTAGCTCTGGAAAATGGCTTTTTTTTTCTTGCTGTTTTGTCTTATAATTTTTGAGTAAATGGTAAACATTGTGAGTTGAAGAACAATAAAGACTGAGGTGAAGAGCATTCATAGCCAGAAATGTATACAACTCTTCTTCTCTTAGGGTGGTAGTAAATAATTGAGTTCTGTTTGGGCTTTGTTTTTGATATATTCACCCTCATTGCCAGCCAGTCTTCTAATTTTTTCAGTGTGGGCTGGTTGAACCACATGATTGAGGACTGTGGTGTTGGAAGTTTTTAATCAGTGTTTGTGCTCCCTCACTTTCAGAATCCATTGCATGACTGTGCCATCCATATTCCTTCCTCTCTAAGTAGACTGCAGTTGCTTTTTATTCAATCATAAACTCAGTATGGAGGCAGGAAGCAAACTTTTGGTTCTTCAGGTGCAAATTCAGTCTTAGACAACATCTATGTGCCTGAGTATCAGGAATAGGGTTTTATTAATATTCTTGTCTCTCTCCTCCCCAAGAGAACTATATTCAGTCTTGTATCTCTGAAGGA